TCTGTCGCACGACAACCAAACTAACAGTACATTGGCGGGAAGGTTCAACCTTCACTACAACACCACCAAAATCCAGCTCAGACGTGACAGATTAACACAGAAAAACAGGAGGCACTATATATGGAGCGCCCTTCGTATACTAGACACCACTTATGAATATAGCACGATGGACAAAACATTAGAAATTCTATATATCGGCAAGGAAGGCCGAACACTGGATACTTTCGAAAGATTTCACATTTACGAAATCAGGAAACAAAATTTACAAGTGAAAGATAAATTTACTATATTTTTAAACCTATATATCATGTAATCATTGATGCATACCAAGCATAATCTACAGTTATATCTCCCCTCACACACCCTATCTCTACCTCTCTATCCCTTACATCGACTGCACTTTAAATGTACATCACCAAATCAGTTACAGTTTATATTTCCTACACAACGGACAAGTACATTGTAAGATGAAGCACCGGCTAAACAGCAAGTAAATAATACGCTATATCATTGATACCAAAATCAGTAGTTAATTACAACAAACTTAATACAATTAATCTCACACAATTTTCAGATTAACTTTAATACTGTACTACAGTGGTTCTCAAAATGTGGGGAGAGACCCACGCATGGGGGCGAAGGGCTTGAAAGGGGGACGCAGCATACTTTCCTTCAGATAAAAATTAAAATTGCCCTAAATCAATTAGAAATGTAACAAAAAATAAATATATTGTGACATGTTGCGCAAAGCCGAGCCCCCCCACACCAGCAGTAACGCGGTGGGTGAGTCAGCGCTCCCCTCCCACCCCTCAGCGGTAACGTAACGCTCGCGTAATAGGCGAGTAATCACCCCGCATCCTGCAGCTATGCGCGGTGACGTCACGAGCGGAGCCGAAGATAGCCGAGCCCCCGCAACCTGGTAACTACGCAAGGCGAATCAACAGCGGTGACGTAACAGGGTGACGTGGCACTCATTACGCAACCGGCAAGCACTGCAGCTATATAAGTGAGCTGCACAGCTGGTACCAGTCAGTTGTACTGAGTCAGTCAGTTAGTCCTGGAGCTACCGCCGAGTGAGTTCCGAGTTAGCCAGCAACTAGTCAGTTGTATTGTGGCATTTGGAGTATACTATTTGTGATACTGCAGATAGCAGTAATCGTAAATCTGTAATTTGGGTGATTGTAAGTGCGAATGTGAAATAAAATTCGCTATATCAGATACATCGTGAAGTTATTTGTAGCGATATACGCCCGATACGCGACAATTGGTGTCAGAAGTGGGATTTGGACTTACATACGTGACCAACGGGATTCGATCTCAAAACACGTTACACTGGTGTCAGAAGTGGGATTTGGACTTACACACGTGACCAACGGGATTCGATCTCAAAACACGTTACAATATATATAGAAAAACGTTTGATGAGTACAGGCTTTAATTATCATTAATTTCAAAATAACTAATAATTATTTTCTCTACCGGCAATTATAAAAAGCGTATGCCAGAGACAGCATTGATAGTTCGGCAGCAGCCGCATCCTCTGAAGTCTAGACTTTTTAAAATGCTGTGTGAAGAAATGGGTGCCGAACACAATGCTCTGTTGTTTTTTAGTGATGCCCGATGGCTTTCAAGAGGCAAGGTATTAAAGAAAATGTTTAAGCTGAGGCATGAGGTGTTCTGTTTTTTAAATGGGGAAAATCACTCACTGGCAGACAGTTACAGCAACAAGGATTTTTTTATTGAAAATGTCTTACCTCACAGATATATTTGAGAAACTAAATATCCTAAACACTTCACTTCAAGGGAATAAGGCAACTGTACTTTCTTGGAATGACAAAGTGAAGGCATTCATGAGAAAATTAGAGCTCTGGAGAAACAGTATGGAAAATGGCACGCTAGACATGTTCCCTGCTCTGGTGTCAATGGTACAAGACACTGATAATCCAGTGCTTCCAGTAGACATACAAAGCTGCCTAATTGATCATTTCATAATGTTGAAAGTTCATTTCGAAAAAAAATTTTGCAATGATTTTGATAAATTTAATTGGATTAAAAATCCATTCGAAAATGCTCCTGGGCCATCATCTCTGAATGTAAATGAGCAAGAAGAACTCATCGATCTCGCTTGTGATACTTCATTAAAAAGTAAATTTAAGGAATTGTCTTTGTTGGAGTTCTGGATACATATTGGTACGGAATTCTAAACTTTGAGCCAAAAAGCATTTAAAATCCTGGTTCCTTTCGCAACAACTTACTTATGCGAGACAGGCTTTTCTGCTTTGGCAGCTACAAATTCAAAGTATCGTTCAAGGCTAAATATTGCTATAGAAGTTAGAGTGGCCATTTCTGATATTACACCACGTTTTGATAAACTTTGTTCTCAAAAGCAGGCCCATTCATCACGATGAACTTTGACATTTAAATGTTTGATTTTCATTGCAGAAAAAAATTATATGCTTGTTAGTTAAATATCTTTTCATTTCAATACATATTTTGGTTAATTGTAAGTGTTAAAATTAATTTTTATTGTAGGCCTAGTATTGTGATACTTTAATTTTGAGTAAGAAAAGTGCTAAATAGTAAGTAGAAAAACACAAAATAAACCGAATAAAATGTCAAACATACCATGACTTTTATTTTGATAAAAAAACAGGCTAGGGGCCTGATAGTATTTTCTCTTGTCAGGGGGGCTCAGAGGTAAAAAGTTTGAGAACCAGTGCTTTACTACATATCACGGGCTTCCAAAGCCGTTTATTACATGTACACAAAATCTAGAATATACTATAGGGCCGCGCCATAGCTCAAGCGGTTAGTCGCTGGCTTCCCACCGCCGCGGTCCGGGTTCGATCCCGGGGTCTGGTCAAGTGGGATTTGTGGTGGACTAAGTGGCGCTGGGGCAGGATTTCTCCAAGTACTTCGGTTTCCCCTGCCAGTCATCATTCCACCAATTGTTCCACAATCACCCTCGCCTATCATCTTGGACTGGTACAATAGTCCAGAATTCGCCGCAGTACAAGCCCCACTAGCAATAAAAAATAGAATATACCATTATGTCTTCGGAAATATAACAGAATTGCAAATACCAACAATTGACTTGATATGAGACATCACATGAAGAGTCTTAAACTTGTTTCAACCTATAACTTTCGTTTTTATATTTATGCCAAACATTTTATAATGTAACTAGCTGTACCCGGCGACGCGTTGCTGTGGCTTTGTCTGGTTAAATGGAAAGGAAAGAAAAGAGAAAGCGCACGTTTCTAATATGTTTAATTTCACAATGTTTGTGGGTATACAATACTTTTTGTTGTTCCATTGTCTGTGCAGATATAGAGATTGTCTGGTTTGCCGACTCTAGAACACGCAACATATAATTGTCCATGTGAGAAGCAATCCGTGCCTAGATCTAAACCGCACAATTCTAAAGATTAGCCCTGAGCTTTGTTGATGGCAATTGCAAACGCCAATCGAATTGGGAATTGCAATCTCTTAAATTGAAATGGCACATCCGTTTGAATCATAGGAATGCGAGGAATAAGGACATCTTCACCTTTGAAATGTCCTGTCAAGATTGCTGCTTCTACGACGTTGCTCAATAATTTTTTACTGCAAGCCGCGTGCCGTTGCAAAGCTTTGGCTGGTTGATATTTCGCAACATGATAATTGGCACGCCTATTTTCAGTTGCAGTACGTGCGGTGGCATCCCTGGCAGATCGAATGAATTCAAAAATTCTGTTGGAGAATTAACCGCTTCATCTGCTTCCACAACAGTGTAGACGGATTTGTATGTGACTGCCTCGCATTACATGTTAGACTGAATGATATTGTTAAGTTCGTAGACGTCTTTGTTCTTGGCCGCAAGAATAGCTCGTTCACTCAGCCAATCTTGATTCTTATAATTGGTTTCAACATTCGGAAATACTTTTTCAACCAATTCTTCTTCTGACGTCACTAAATCGCAGAAGTTATGAGGCAATGAAATTCGTTCTGAGGTCGGATCAACCGGCACCTTTCCGTTCCAAATTTTCAGCAATGGATGTGAGAATATCTCAGCTGATGGATCCGTTTTGCAGCTGGACACGCATATTTGTAGTCAATTTTAACGTTTTTACGTGTCGCCACAAAATAGAGTATTTCAGGCAAGCATTTATTTCGTCCGCTGGTGTCGATCAAGGAATTATAGGTAATGATTGCTGAAATCTCCTGCAAGCAATATTAATGCGTTCCTAAATGGTCTGATGTTTCCACGGAAATCTTGCCATGATAGATGAAGAGCCTTTAGCTATTATTTATGCGCCATTGTGCATTCAACCCAAACAATAAGTTTGCATTTCTGTAATACCCTTCTAATGCCTGATCCTTTTGAAATGTTGCACGTGGGAGTTTCAATGAATTACATGTTCAATGGCAATTTCAAAGCGGAATGAGCAGTTCTTCCACCTGGTAGCAATGTCGCAACTATTCCGGACGACGCAAGAGCTAAGGCTATTTCATTTTGGGATCAAATTGCTGCCAGAATCAATCTAATTAGGAATGGCATCTAAGAAGAAGATTTCTGCAACCCCGTTATAGACAGTTTGCATGATTTGATAGTAAATGCCTTTTTGCTCAAGCGTTAGCTTCAAAATGTTTGATTGCACATATGACAAAAGATCACCCGTGTTGTAATTTTGTTCACGACGCAATTCTACATTGAACGAAGCAGCAGCAGATCGATTAGCTGATGGCATTCCCAATTGACTGAGAACTTTGTTCATGATTTCTAAGCACAAATCTTCAATCATTATCAAGGCTTCGTTGTAGATTTCTGCTGTGAAATCAATGTTCATATTGGAATTTTCCTTGCGCATTCGACGGAAAATATCTTCAGCCATGTGCGATTTATATTTCTCCCATAACTCTGTTGGAGATGAAGGAGAGCAGGCGGTCAATATGATTGCAAACAATGCACGAATTTAATGTGGATGTGACGTGTTGCAGGCGTCAGTAATGCATACATCTCAGTGTCTGTCTTTCTCCAATAAATTCAGAGCTTGACATGCACTGCGAAAAGTGGCATGTGTAACGCCGTTGACAATTCTCAATTGCTGGAAAGACGTTGGACCGGGCACATTTACCAACAGCATGTGAAGAAAGAAGCATTCATCTTCATTGGGATGCACGGTGTACAGTCTGCCTATCGTAGTTTCCTTGAATATGCCAGTTTGTTCGTCGACTCTCTCTCCTCGTTTGCGTCGTTCAAATGATTTTCTACTCGCATTCCATGTGTAATACGTAGGCACTTCCGAATATAGCAGTATTTTCGCAAACGCCTCATTTTGACATAACACGAAGAAAACAATTAACGTTGTATCCGGTGGATTCAGGGCTATTTGTTGCACATTTGCAGTTGTGAAATAAACGCGTTGTCCATTTTCTAGATGTACTGCTAAGTGAACAACAGCTGGACTTCGTTCATGTATGGGAAATGAAAGAATTCGCCATACAGCTTCATTGCTGCTTATGTATATTCCAGCCTGATACTGTGCGATTTCATCGAAATGTGTGACCGCATTCCCATCACTTATTTCTGGTTTCACGCCATAAACTGCCATGTCGCTGCCGTTATTCTCGTACTTACAAACGAAATTGATCGATTTAACGGAGTTACAATATTCCACGTTTATGTGCGCTTTGTATGTTTTTGATAGCAAAGGCAAATATGGAACAACCCACCGGTTATCCACTTCGATGTCACCGTTTCGCATTTGTATGGTTGCTAATTTACCGCCATCTTCTGCTGATCTTCTGTATGAAGGATATCCATTGTTTCCTGTAACTGTGTTGGATAGTAATGCTCGAGAATATCGCTTAGAGCATCTTCCGTCTATCATGCATGGTGAATTTGGATTCAGTGTACCGCAAAGTCCATGTATCATATTTTTCGTCACAACTTCATGTAAATCCTTATCGACGTCGGCATCGGGTATTTCAGCGCATATTACATCGTCGATTTCGTTTGAAGTGATTTTGTTATAGAGCCAGATTAGTATATGTGCGTGTGGCAATTTTAATTTTTGTCATTCCACTGAGTACATCCTACAGCGCACAGACCCAAACACTTCATGTTTTGCCATGAAATCCATCAGCGATTTCAGCTTCTGTCTGAAAACACGTGCTGTGATGTAATGACTATCCACCTGCATTTACCCAGGAAGTAAGACCTGTTGTATATCGTCCCAAGCTGGATTGCATGTGAATGTAATGAATAGGTCTGGACGCCCTTAGTGACGAACATACGCAATTGCATCTTGGGCGTCCTCATTCATATGACGTGGACTGCCTGTATATAAAGATGGAGAAATGGTTAATCTTCCAACGTTAGTTGTATTACCGTCATTTACAACTGCATCTCGCAAATGAACGTATTCTTCAGAGCGAAGCTTGGTCTGATTCAAACGGATGAATATCAAATGTTCTGCTTCGATTTTTGCATACATATCTACGATGTATTGGTGAAAAAAATCGACGGCATTTCAAAATGTGATTAATCGGTATGAATAATAGTTCATTGCGCTGCATTTCATATTTGTTTCTTCGCCATTGACTGGATTTATCATCTTAACGTTGAAGTGATATCCATCGGAACCATCCCAAAAAATGATTGGGTATTGCAGGGCATCGTAGCATCGATAAGTTTCTGCAGCATTTGTCAATTGATCGTTTCTCCGATGAAAAACAATATCTCTAGGTTGGAATTGATCTCCGACTATAACAATTGCCACTTCGTCTATAGTTGGAGCATTGAATCTTCGCTCATGTTGTCCAGCAGGCGATTTGTCAGCATGAATAACAATCTTATGTGTATCAGATGGCATCATGTCAATTGCTGTTTTGAACAAACGCACTAAATTGTTTTTTTCGTGAAGAAGCTCTTGCAGTTGGGAAACGATTGACCTTTTTATGCCGGTAGAAATTCCGCAGCGTGCATTCAATTCATCATTGCCATCGCCGAAGAAATAGATTTGTAGGAATTTATGTTGACCATCTGGGAACGGAAGTAGGGAGCCGGCTTTATGATAAATTTGTCCTTTCACTTTGAAAGTTGGCATGAATTGAGCTGTTACGATTTCTGCGCCGAACGACGTCATTTGGAAGCATGAGTTGTATTTCCTGATGTTAGATAGGAAATGCTTTGATTCGGCGGTATAACCGGCAAGCAAAGTTTTTAATGGTTCTGGCGGTTTGCCAAGTTGAGGAAGTTTAATTTTTCCCGCGGCGCAACACATTCATTTCGTTTCTCCATTAAATTTCAGAGCCTTGCAATAAGGATACACTTCAATCATAGTGCCGATGAGAACATGCCGGCTCAAATTATGATCTACAGCTGGGCTGTACCGGAATGCAAGGCGATTGTAATCGCGTGATTGCTGAGCACGGAGTCGTGTTTGACGCTGATCTGCTGTCTCTCGTTCACGTCTTTCAGCCACTCCCAGCCTGTCGCGTTCATTCTGTTGAGAAGGAAGCAGATCTGAAACTGCAGAACGCGATCGCCTTGCTCGCAACCGTGCATCCTCAAGTCTGGCTGCATGTCGCTCTGCTGCTTCCTCGGCACGTATTTGAGCCACTCTTTGTCTGTTTCGCTCGTTCTCTGATGCCCGTTCTTAACCAGTTTGATTTTCAATTACTCGTCGCACTGCTTCCGCTCCGTGAGTACGACGACCTAAGTTTCATCTTCTGCGAGGCATGATTTGGATGAACTAAAGCAGATCGATTACACTGAAGAAGAAGAAAGAAAGTTATAGGAAAAACATATAAAATTGCAAAACATTAAAAAAGGAAAGAACGCGGACTGGAAAACAAAGAAGAGACAATAAAAAAATAAAAAATTTAAAATATTTCAATTCAAACACAGATCAATCGGCACAGCTCAATTCCACTGCCAATTTCACTAAAAAAGGAAAAGAGTTAAGAAAACGTAATGAAAAACAATGAAAGAAAAAAAGCAATACTCATGAAATGAACGCTATGGTAGAGGACACAGCTCAATTCCAACGCAATGTGACACGAAATAATTAAATCGAAATGAAAATAAATCGAAATCTATGAAAATCCAATTTAACAATGCAATCGGAAACGTTGAAATGGAATCGTAAAATATTTAGAATAACGTGTGTTGCTTTTACGTCCGACAGATGACGCTGTTTTTCAAAAGAAGCATGTTTTTACCTGTCACAAGTGTGGCATCTATATAATAGGTATATAAAAACGCGCGTATTAATATGCAACTTTGTAACAAATTTTCAAAGCAATCGATGAAGAACTTTCGGGGATTTAAGATTTTGAACAAACGAACATTTACATTTTTATTTGAATTTATTTGAAATTTCACCACCACAATGTCCCACTCATTACTCCCCTGCGGGAAATGGTGACGTATTGGACATTGTGGTTCACAAAAATATAAGAGTGTCTGATGTCATCGTCTCTGATATTTTGGACTCAGATTACCTACCAGTAGTATTCCACATACTGGATCACGTTAGAATTAGGAATCCTTCGGGACCCACTGAAAAATTTACAGATTGGGGGCGGTTTCAAAGCCTCGCCTCTGAATTAATATAACCTAAACTAACAATTAAGTTGGCGGTAGAAGCTGATAAAGCGGCACGCGACTTTACAGCCTGTGTAGCTTCGGCATATATGTTGTCGACAAGCAAAATTACACTTTCGGATATAAACAGCGATCCACCTGATCTAGATCATTTGATAAAACATAAGCAGAGGCTACGAAAACTGTGGCAAGAAACCAGGGATCCAGCGTGTAAAACGGCAGTCAATAGGGTCACCAAATCAATCGGGTGAATGACCCGAAAAAGGGCACCTGAACGGTGGGAAACAAAAATAGGTAACGCTAAAGTCACACCTCAGTGTATATGGCCCATTGCGAAATCTCTCCTTCAGAGAGACGGACCAAGGGCACCAACTGCTCTTCATGGTTCTTCTGGCCTAAAATTTCATCCCTTTGAAAAAGCCAACGAAATTGCCGACTGTTTGGAAATTCAGTTCACGCCACATGACCTGTGAGATGAAAACCATGAAGAGCGGGTGGAGGCTAGAGTTCAAGCTCTGCTGGAAGCCGTGGATGAAAACCCCCCCTCTAAGCATCAGTCCATGTGACGTTCAGAAATTAACAAAATCACTGAAATTAAAAAAAGACCTGTGGAATTGACGGCATCCCAAATGAATGCCTCAGGCACCTTCCAAATCGACCATTGGTTCACCTAACTTACTTATTCAATCACTGTTTTCGGCTCTCTCACTTTCCAAATACTTGTAAGGAAGCAAAAATAATAACTTTACCTAAACCGTGTAAAGACCCGAAATTTC